TTATTTATAATTAATAATAATAATCAATATTAATGAAAGTTATAATCGAAAATTTTGACAACAACCTACCAAAATATAAAGCTAGCTAGTTTATATGCATTCAAAGGTATACAAAAAAAGTTAGCTTATTTTTGTCAAACAATGTACTATAAATGTTTAAAACAGCTAAAGAGTAATGTAATTAACATACTATTATATTATAAGATAAGTATATTATTGCATTGTAAAATGAAGAGTAAGTTATGTTTTTATCCCTGTGGTTTGTTAAAAATTGTGGATTTTTGTCCATGTGGTTTTAAAATAAACATTGTTTTTAATTATGAAGTACTAAAATAGAAATATACGAAAAAAGCAATAAACATTAAATCATAAGGACGAAAAATGTAATAAATTATAAACTATAAGAATAAAAATTATAATTTCAAATCCTTATAATAAACCATAGGAGCTAAAAACATAATTTACTCTAAAGTAAATATTCGGAAAAATATATTATTTTTGAAATATGTAAAGATTATATTTTCTTAATTATCAAATAAGAATTTCATTCTTAATAATACGAGAAAATCAAAATTTAATTTTGAAAATAGATATTATTACAAGAGACTTAAAATTCAAATACAGAAAGTTAGATTATGACAAAAAACAATATAATTTATATAATTTTTATGTTTTAAATAAGGATTCATTTAAATACAATTTTTCAATATAAGGATAAATAAGTTTGCACTCTATGACAAACATCAAAATAAACACATGATTGATTTATCAACAAACTTATAATTCAACAAATAATTTATTAGTCAATAATTAATTTATCAACAAACTTATAATTCAACAAATAATTTATCGGTCAATAATTAATTTAACAAATTTAACATGTTCCAATTTCGATTACGAATCTTGTTTGACTAAATTAAATACGACCTAAAATCTAATTTTTTTTTTGTTTTCTTGTGTTTAATTAAACCTCATTTACTCCTGCGTATCTACCTTTCCATGGAGAAAACCCTACCCCCAACCCCAACCCCAACCCCAACCCAAATCCAAATCTATTTAAGGACACCACCACCAACCGTGGCCACCATCGTACCCCGTTGTTCTGAAATGGAGACACCTACTCGGAGACAGCCAAATAGGACAGGACAGCAGCTTCCAACGAATCGCCAAAACCTGCCACCGGTGGCCTTCGCTTTCGGAAAATGTCTCAAGAACCACGCAGCCAGCACAGGTGGCTATGCTTTGGATGGTTGCGGGGAGTTTATGGCAACACCCAACTCTACTCCGACTGACCTCACCGCCCTAAAATGCCATGCCTGTGGCTGCCACCGCAACTTCCACCACCGTGAAGTTAACCAACTCCAATCACGCATGGAACGCATCATCGAGTGCCCATACCAACCCCAACAGTACCATCTCCACCCTCCAACACCACCACCACCTTCCCGCCTCGTCGCTATTGCAAATAACACTCGCGGCACTCTGGATTCCCTATCACCGCCACCAATTCCATCATCCTACTGTCCAGCACCACCCCACATGTTCTTTGCCTTCAACCCAGGCTTCTCAGCACCACAACCGGTGGACAAAAACCGCCCGTCGATCATCACGACTGGATCAAACCGCCGCCGCAAAAAACGATTTAGATCAAAGTTCTCAGAAGAGCAAAAGGCAAAGATGCAAGAATTCGCAGAAAGAATCGGATGGAAGATGCTGAAGAGTGAGGAAGAGACGATTGTGGGATTCTGCAACCAAATTGGAGTCGATAAAGGCGTTTTCAAGGTGTGGATGCACAACCACAAAAACATCATTGTTAGAGACAACCACCACCAGAACCGCCGTGACGACGGCGCTAATGGATCATCTTCGTCTTCCTAGTTATATATGCTGATTATGGGTGGTAATTAAAGAAGTCTATTAGATAATTAAGGGGAAATTAGGGTGAGATAGAGAAGAGGCTTTGAGGCTGATTATGTTTTAATTAGTGACTATTAGTATTAAACTATTAATTAATACATGAAGCTTTTTTTTAATTAAAGAGCAATTAGCATAAATAATTAAATATACAAGGTATTTTGTTTTTATTACCAACATATTTTCAAAATTCTAATTTTAGTATTTCAAATGCGACATTTCAAATGTTCATTAATAAATAATTCACGATTTCCGTCTTCTAACTAAAAATAAAATATAACATTTTACAAACTAAAATGGTTATACAAGTTATTTCTGATCGTTTTAACAAGTGTTTTTAGACAAAAACTCTTAAAATATAGCGTCGTATTATAGTAGTATCCAAAACTTCAGTTTCAAAAATTATATGGTAGCATCCAACAAAATAAACCTTGATAAGCTCATATCATTCTTCATGGCTTACTTATCGAAACTCACTTGATCATGGCTCGATAATTCCTAATCTTTATTTAACTTCATCTAGCTCGTATTCATAACTAGTGCATCAATAATGGATTGGTTCATCCGCCTATACATTTGATCGATATACTTGTTTTGACATCCCATATATTCCATAATTGTACGTCTCTAAATATTTATCCGTACATTTCGTAAGCAGGGACGGGACCATATGGATAGATATGGTGACATGGCCCACCACTTTCGTTGTAAGAAAAAAAAAATATGTTTCTAAAAGATGTCAATTTGATTTTATCATATATTTTTTGAAATGAAATGTTAATATAAGATTTTAATGGCTAAGATTAAAAAAGGGGTGATTTTTTATGACCAATTAAACCCGATAGTAGTACACATCTATGTACAACTAAAGAAAAATAAATAAGCAATCATGGTATTTGACCATTTGACTGGAGAATAGTTGAGTATTGAATTTTTAACCTGTGTTTAAAATAGCTTAGTAATACTATAAATTAAAATACTATTAATTTTAAAAGTAAATATTCACAATAAAAACATAACCTTTTCAAATATCACTATAATAAAATTGGGTTTAGAGAATGCCCTTAATCTCTAAGTGTCCCAATAAACTACTTTATAAGACTTAATTTATAGGACCAAAATATAAAGCGTCTTATCTAAAAACGTTGTAATAAGTTTATATGACGTTTTTGGGAGTCGTAACAAGTTTTTGAGGACATTTTTAATACGAAGTGTCACATTAACAACTTTTTTTTATTAACTCAGATATCCAACCCACTATGCGAGCCGAATAATCCCAGGGTGACCACCTGCTTTGCAGATAGCTCGGAGTTACCGCATTTGAACCTCCGTGACCACAAAGGGATTTTTATTCCTCCTTGGATTTGAACCTGAGATCTCCTGGTACTTTTGACTTTTGGAGCCGAGCTCAAACCAATTAGACACCACCCTTGTGGTTCACATTAGCTACTTTATAGGACACTTTTGAGAATCGTCTTTTAAACTCAATTTTTTATAGAACACATGTTTTTATAGAATAGTTTTTCAAATAGTGTCCTATAAAGTTGATAATTTGACGTTTTATATTAAAAGTGTCATAAAAAACTTATTACGATGTCAAAAAACATCATATAAACTTATTACAACATTTTTAGATATGACATTTTATTTTTTTGGTCATATAAACTAAGTCCTATAAAAAGGTCTATTATGACGCTTAAAATTTAAGAGTGTCCTATAAACCCAAATTTGTTGTAGTGTATGTAGATATTTATATTTTTTTATTATCTATTTAATAATTTTATTTTTAATAATAGAAGGAAAAACATGACTTGCTATTAAAAATTGAAACTTATTTTCAGACAATTGAAATAGACAGTTATTCTAAGACATAAATAATATTATTTATTTATTTTTATGTTTTAAAACATTCATTTAAATACAATTTATCACTAATTTTTGTTACGAAATATTACAAGGATGGATAAATAAGTTGGACTCTGTAGACCAAAAAAAATGAAAATTAATATATAGAATGATTAGTTTATCAAAATATTTATCATCTAATAAATAATTTATCAATCAATAATTAATTTGTCAACAAATTTATCAAGGGTAGTCTAAACCATTTCCACTTTTGGTTACGAATCTTGTTTGACTAAATGAAATACAAGCTAAAATCTATTTTTTTTTTCTTGCTTCATTATGTTTAAATAAAACTCATTTATTCATGCGTATGTACCTTTTCATACAAAAATAAATAACATTAAAGTTTTACAATAAAACACAATGAATGTAAATTTTTATAGTGTTTTTACTATGAAGGTTCAATATTTTTTTGTACTTTTACAACGACTAATTTGCTGTGAAGTTTCAGTGTCATTTTATGGTCCCACCAAAACAGGCTAGTCCCACGAATATAGGGTTGAGTTCCGATGAGAAAAAAAGAGTTAAAGTAAGAAGCGTAAGAAGAGATCTTAGACCATTTTTATCAATTTTCTTGAAAAGCGCATTCATGGGTGGGCAAGAGATTAAAGTGATCAAGGGTCCAGATATATTTTTATGTTTCTCATATTAACTCTCTTTAATCATTCGCATATATATATATATATATATATATGTGTGTGTGTGTGTGTGTGTGTGTGTGTGTGTGTGAGAGAGAGAGAGATGATAATCAAATGAGAACCATAAAAAATTACAAACCCTTGACAACCCATATAAAAGTATTGTATATATGATTTTTTTTCCGACTAAAACTATGATTTAAGATATTGTTTCACATATCTTTGTGTTCACCTTGTGAAAAAATTACATGTGAATTTTTTTTTTCACTTAGTGAAATGAAAAATACAAGTAAAAAATATTCACATGGTGAAACAAGTACATTGAAAACTATAACATTTTGAAACAAATATACATGAAGCAATATCAAAATCCTAGCATTTAATGGAAAAAATCATATAAAAAACTATTTTTAAATTGGTTCTCACGAGTTTGTAACTTTTTTATAGTTTTCATTTGATTTAGCTCCTATATGTATATATATAAAGAAAAAGAGAGAGAGAGAGAGGGAGGAGCGATCAAATGCAAACCACCCAATTTGTACAAACCATGTAAATCTCATTCAACCAATCATAATTTTTCATTTTGTTCATTTTTTTGTAATTATGAGAGGATGATTAATCATTTTTATTGTGGAGGGTGTTAATCATGGATATTATCATCTTCATTATTTTAATTTTAGAAAAATACGTGAAACAGTTTCATTAAAATTTCATTAAGTATTATATGAAATAGTTTCATAACTATATATGAAACAACTTCATCAAAAAAAGTATTATATGAAACAATTTCATAAGACTAAACAATGAAATTGACGGATGAGGGTGATTTGCACAATTTGTACAAATTGGGTGGTTTGCATTTGATCGTTCATCTCTCTCTCTCTCTCTCTCTCTCTCTCTCTMTATATATATATATATATATATATATACACACACACATGAGAAGGGTACTCGCGTAATGCAGCGAAATATATCTCGATTTTTAATGTTTCATTTTATTCCGTCTCTATAGATGTTTTAATATGGTGTTTATATAGTTTTGAGAAATGGATAATATTTTTATTTTTAAATGGAAATATAAATTGGAAGATATCATACTAATGAATATTTCATGTTATAAAACATCCAACGCACTAGCATCACGTTATAATTTGACTCAACTAATTATAGTCCTAATCTAGTCCTTTTATCAATCCTTTCACACCGATACATCCTTATATATATATATAGAGAGAGAAAAAAAAAATGAACGATCAAATACAAACCATTCCCTTTTGTACAAATTGTACAAGCTAGCATCAACCAATAGTGTAAGTTTATTTAATTTTCTTTATTTTTAATTCATAAGAGTATGATTGTCCATTGATTTTATAATGGATAATTTTAGTAATATTTTAATTGTGTTTAAAACAGGAAGATTATATAAGTTATAGGTTTTTTAGGAAATGATCAATCAAATTGTTTTTATAATAATCTTGAAACCGATAAATTTTTAATAGATACTTACTAATAGTAATATTTTTTTATTAAATAAAAATAATCCGTCAAGATTATTTATAATCATCTTTTTCTTAGGAATTTATTTATTTAATTTTCATAATAACAAAAGAAATCGATATTTTTTTCAATTTACAAATCTTTCCAGATTTAATAATATTATAGTTGTGATATTTTTCAGATTTTGAATATATTGTTTTGTTTCATTTGTAAATTCATGAATAAATTGATTTTCTTTCAAATTTCATTAATGAAATCATGTTATCCAGTTTTCAAGATGTTTCATTCATGAAATAAATTTTAATTTGATTAGGAACCATGAAACTATTTTCATTAATGAAATCATATTATTCAGTTTTCAAAATGTTCCATTGACTGAACCATATTTAGTTTTATTAATAAACCAATTTCATTTTATTTAGGAACCATGAAACCAATTTCACTAATGAAATCATCTTATTCAGTTTTCAAAATGTTTTATTCATGAAACCAATTTCACTAATGAAATCATTTTATTCAGTTTTCAAAATGTTTCGTTCATAAAATCAATTTCACTAATGAAATCATATTATTCAATTTTTAAAATGTTTCATTCGGTTTTTAAAATATTTCATTCATTATTGTTGATTAATAGTAATTTTTAGGAAATGAGATTTCATTGATCTCAAACGTTTATAACTTGTTCATGTTTTCTCATTATTGGAGAAAATAATTTTTTTTTTGTTTTATTTTTTTACTTTACTAAAATAATTTGTTTTAATCATGAGCTTTGATCATGGAAATGGATGGATATGATTGGTTTGTAGGGTTCGTATGAAATAGATGGTTTGCAAAGAAAACTATATATATATTCACAAACACACATATATATATAGAGAGAATGACCTTTTTTCGAAAACCAATTAACTTGTGATAACTTTGAGA